ACGTTTGCCATAAAGCCGAGACGCAGCTGGTATTCTGCCGTGCTCCTTCTCCGCCGGCTTTCAACGAACGCTGACTTTCTAGCCTGGCAACCCTAATAAGCAATGTTTATGGGGGCTGGTACTACGTGGGGGGGGGCCGGCCCGGAGCCGCCTGTGGCTGCCTATAAGGCCCACCAGAGGATAAGCTTGCCGCTGTCCTCCCACCTCCTTGTCACCGAATAGACCGCTGCGTGGGAGTTTCCAGCCAGCGTCAGCCTGGGGGACCCCTTGGTCTTAATGGCTTGGGTCTCCACCTCTAAACGTTAGGCAAGGAATTGAGTCCATAGATTCATTCTTTCAAAGATCTGCCACCTGCTTTACAGGACATGTAGCCCCCCGAGGTTTGGAAGCAAATAAAAATGAAAACACAGTCAACATCTTAAAAACATTAATATAAGGGCATTGATTAAGAACCACCAGCACAATCTTCAATGGGAATGAAATGCAGAGTGAAAGGAACAGGGCCTTCCATGTTTTCTTAAAGACTAGCAGCAGATTTGAGACCACTGCTGAAAGGATTGGTCCCTGCCTTGGACTCAGTAAAGGAAGCCAGTCTTTAGTTTGCAAGACCCAAATAGGGCTGTCCATGGTAAGACCTCTTGGCACCTAGTCATTCATAGGCTTTCTGTAAGTCAAACCTCATTTGATGGCAGATAACAAACCTACTACCCACCAAACGGATAACTTTCAATCTCAAACAACGTTCTCTTTTGTTTCCGATGGGCAGGTGCAGAATGAGTGGACCAGAGAGTCCTCCAGAGATCGATGAGGAGTTGTATTCTCGCCAGCTGTAAGTTTTGTGTGACACATGCTTGACAAGAGACATTCTAGCCGAGAGCCTGTCCGCACTGGCATATAGTTAGGATATAAGGTTCCCTGGTAGCGCTGTTTGGCACAGAAAAAAGATGTTGTCCTCTTATATTTCTACTTAAAATGATAAATCCTTCCTCTTTAATACCTGGCCCATATCTTTCTGGCAGTGGCGTGTAATCTTTTTGGGACAATTCATTGAGATGCAAAATAGCTCTTTGTTCTGCCATTGTAGATGGGTACCAAGAGTTCAAATGCATTGCGCTGATGATAAAGGACCTTTTAGGCACCAGCTGAATGGCACCAATTTTCACAGTGTGGACAGGCCCTTTGTCCAGAAGAGAGGTGACCAGGGTGGTCCATCCAGGTCATAGCACTACAGCTGCAGGCAACAGGGAGTAGCATTAGCAGCAACATGAGCCGGGAGGTTCAAGCAACAGAGAGTGCGAGTTTGGTATATGCTGTAGGATGAAGGCAGGATCCAGTAGCTGGCAGGGAAGTCACAAGGAAAGGCAGAGGTGGAGTTTATAGAAAGCAGACAAAGGAGTAAGGCTGTACTCACTATATTTCTGAGAGGTGTCCTTTCTTTCTAGTTACGTCCTGGGCCATAAAGCCATGCAGAAGATGGCTGCTGTTGCTGTGCTGGTCTCTGGCATGAAGGGACTCGGGGTGGAGATTTCCAAGAACATTATCCTTGCAGGTGTGAAATCTGTCACTGTCCATGATGAGAACAATGCTCAGTGGAATGACCTCTCCTCACAGGTAGGCTGCCTGGAGATTTTGCCTAGGAAGAATGGGCAGCACGTCAGCATGGCACAGAGCAAAGTTCTCTTTTCTTGTTTGGCACTGTTATACTGAATCTTCTATTACAGTATTTTACTTTCTTCTTGGCTTCAAATGGAGCATAAATGAGTTCTGCTTCCTTGATAATACTTAATTATTCCAGCGAAAATAACCCCTTTGGTTCAAAACAAAAAGGAACAGTTGAAGCTGTGGCCCCAAATGTAAGAAAATGCAGGACACGGATGAACCTCTCTGCTCATTCAGAACATCAGCACATTTTTCTTTTACCTTCATGACTGCTTCTTGTAAGCAGAAGGATTGAGCTCTGCTCTTTTGTTCAAAGAGTCCCTTTAAATGCAGGAAGTCTGCATTCCCCTAAATGTCTGTGCACAGATCTTCCACTTTGGTTCAGAAGCCAATTTGGTGCTTTGTACCACATCCTGATTTGCTCTGGAGGGATCCAGACCCATCCAACTCAGTCCAAGACCCCAATATAGATCAGTTTGGAATTTCCCATTTGGTTGGAAACCAAAATTATTGTAACATTTCTGTTTTTCTATTGATGTATGAATACTATGGAAACAGATGTGGAGAACCTAATGATAGCCAGCTTCAGTGGATGGCTACTAGGCACCTTTAAAATTTGTTTCTAAGATTTGTATTTTTTTCCCCTGAAAATTACAATCACTTGCGTGGGTTATCTTATTGGTTAATCTTTGGTAAATGCCACTTTTGTAGACCTTGGACAGACAGACAGACAGATAACAGACAGGGCACGGAGAGATAGAATAGGTTTTATATTATTACCTAAAGCACACAAAAACTCGTTAAAAAGGAACATATTTTATCAGTCAGATGAACAAATTAGCAAGGTAAAGGAAGGATTAATCAGAAGGCTAGTTAAGTCACAATAGTAAAATAAAAAATGGTTGTTGTAGGTTTCTCGGGATGTTTGGACGTGTTCTACAGGTTGTTCTTCCTAACGTTTCACCAGTCTCTGTGGCCGGCATCTTCAGAGGACAGGAGTCAGAGCACAGACAGAATTCCAACTCGTGTCCTCCGAAGATGCCGGCCACAGAGATTGGAGAAACTTTAGGAAGAACAACCTTCAGAACATGACCAAACAACCCAAAAAACCTACAACAGCCATCAGATCCTGGCCGTGAAAGCCTTTAAGAACATAAAAAATAATGGGTTGACTCAGTTTAAACTCATATTACAATCAACACAATTATATTCTCAGGAGTCTCTTGATCTAATTGCTATTGTGTTAAATCTGAGAGCTTCATGAAATAATTAAATATAGAACATTATGAATTCACACAGTCACATTCCACAAGCACCCACGATTGGAGGGCATGGTGAGGTTTGGCCAGTTTGGTTCAGAATTTAGCACAGTCCTAGTCAACACTATCAAAGGCTGTGTTTACTCAGAGCAGAAGTCAAGGTACACGAAGGTTTCATCAATGTGTTCATTTCTGAAGTGAGGAAGATGATATGAATTTGCTTACTTTGGGGAGTACAGTTTCAACTATTATTTTTTGTTTTTAAACGTGTTTTGGGAATTTTCTTGCTTTTTAGAACATAGGAACAAATGGACAACCATGCCGGGAAATTATAGTTTGTCTTTATCGAATAACTTAAGGTTAGAGAAATTGTTTTAAAACGCATAATGTAAATAAAGTCAATAGCAATAAAGCGCCTTGGGCTCACCAGTTTCTTCCAGATACTTGTTCTATGTCACCCAGATACATTGAAGTTGTACATTCAATTAAGATTTTTGCTTAATGTTGCCTTCACCTTTTTCTAGGAAAACTATACATATTCAATAACAAGAAGGTGCCATTTAAGCTTTTTTCTTAAAGAGAAAAATCCTGCATAGTACAGGGGGTTACTGTCAACCTGCTCCTTTCTCCAAGGAAACACATTCCAGGATCAAACTTGTTTCTCCCTGTGATATTTACCACATGGCCCCTTTGTTTCACCAAACAAAGAACTCACACTACATCTTCCTCCAGCTGACACCAATTGTGATGCACCCCTCACATGTCCCCAGGTTGTTTCAC